TGGTATATAAGATGTATCAGAAAGAAGGACAGGAAAACTTCTAAAGAACCTGCCTGTGTTAAGTCAGTATTGTAGTCCAGAAAAGTGGACATTACACAACAATCAATAATAAACAGGGTATGCATTACGTTATAAGATAATAAGTGCATTGTGAGAAGGAAAAGGGCTAATGTGCTCCACAGAGGAATAAAAAACATTGCCAGCAGATTGTGTGGCTGACTGGAGTGGAGACTCTTCCCCAAGTCTTCAGGCTGTTTGTCCTGCAGATTTTGGACTCACCAAGTGCCAACAATCACGTGAACCCATTTTTAGATAGAAAGACAGGTAGATATCAATATATGCATATGCACACATATTGGTTCTGATTCTCTGGAGAACACTTAAAACGAGTACATAATTTGGTCATAGGAATGATTCTAGAAGAACCAAATCTTAATACGTTTTCTACACTGTTTCTGAGGTTTCTGGAACTGGCTGTCTGATTAGATTTAAAGACATTAATGACTCTATTTCCACTTGTAAAAAAGAGCACTGATAATCCACGGCATGGTGTGGCATTAGGGGTACACCACTGGATGCTCCTAAACGTACACTTATAAGGGACGAGAATCTGGGTGGCCTTGCATATACCTTTGAAGATTGTTGCCAAACTAATAAGTTTGGCTGTTTTGTCCCTGGATAAAGAGGTAAAGAAAAATGTGAGTCCAGAGATTAGAATTTCCAGTTCTAGCACCTCTATATAAATATCTGAGGTTTTTATGTCTGCCTTGAAAGAGACTCTCATCATTTGTAGCCTTAGGGGTGAGATCGCTGAAAATCAAACCCAGAATCTCATGGTTGAAGTGGCTATATTACAATGCAAATGGAATCCTCAGCCTTGCAGGTATCTACCGTTCAAGTAACCGCATTGGTTAGGAATGGGGAGGTCTTAAAAGTTGGAATGAGGGTGTGTGTTAAGACCTTGATACAGCTGAGGATATGGAGCCCTTAACTTTGAATGAGTCTTCTTTGACAATAGAAGCATCCTCTCTACCTGCATGCAAAGAGATTAACCCTGCATTGTCTGAGGAAATGGTACTGGCCTCCCCTGAGGCAGTTGCCATGCAAGGCTATGCTCATTCTCCTCAGGACACATCCTGACCACCCCTCTTTGCTTCTAGACCTGTAACCAGATTCAAGTCTTACAGGCCCCTAAAGGTGTTATACAAAGTATGGTGCATGAGAAGACGTGCTATTCTCCAAAGTAACTTTTTTTTAAAAAATTATATATTCAGAAGTCTGAGGAACACATGTTGGAGTGGATATTAAGGGTTTGGGATAATGGTGAAAAGAACATAAAGTTGAGTCAGACCAAATGTATTGATATAAGCTCACTAAACAGAGATTGCCCAGTTAATGTTGCATCTTGGAGAACTAGAAATGGTTCTACCAGTTTATCTGGTTGATTGGCTGAAACATGGAGCAAAATCTGGCCCTCAGTACATAAACTCAAAACGCCAGGCATACCTTGGTTTGCTGTAGAGGAACTGATTTAAAGGCTTAGGAAGATTGTAATGTTTGCATGGATTTATCAAACCGTGTAAGACCACACTGGAAGAACCAGAAGATGTATCTTTCAATGATATCGTGAGGGGAACTCTGGCACCCTTGAGGGGCTCTGTGATTGCTCTTCTTTGAAAGCTGGAACTTACAGTGGAATTGCCGAATTTTTAAAAACTGTAAATGTGTTGGGAGTAATTTGGCCCCTACCTCTGGGCCCCCAGAGAGATAGGGGCCAAGTGCAAGAACTCAACCACCAAAGGCAAGGTGGGTGTGGTTACCATGATGGACAGCAAAGTCAAACCAGCAATCAGAATCGTCTCACAGAGTTATGGTGTTGGCTAGCCAATCATGGTATTCTAACAAGGGAGACAGACAGGAAACCTACTAAAGTCTCACTTGAGAAAATTTCTGTGTCAAGTGAAGAAAAGTCTAACCTGAATCATAAAAGCAGAGAACCAGAGTCTCTCAATTAATGACTAGTATTGAGCCACTTCATAGAGCCAGAATCCCTTGATTTAAAGGGAAGACAGGGTCCCCAAGAGGGCACTAGCCCTGGGATACTACCAAGAATTTATACTCTTGATCTTTCTCCTGGACTTTTGTTAAAGGGACCTGTGGCCTTTTACGATGGCAATGGAACATCAGGGGAAAATAATCAGATAATTTGGGCACTATTGGAAGTAGGCTGTGAATTGACATTAATTTCAGGAGACCCAAAACGTCACTGTGACCCTCCAGTCAGAGTAGCGGCTACTAGAGACAAGGTGGTTGATGGAGTTTGAGCTCACATCTGTTCCATGGGGGATCCAGTGTGTCCCTAAACCCATCCAGTGGCTATATCCCCAGTTCCAGAAGGCAACATTAGAATAGATGCATTTAACAACTATCACAAGCCCCACAGTGGTTCCCTCACTTGTGGAGTGAGGGTTATTATAGTGAGTCCAGTGGGCGCCACTAGAACTGCCTCTTCCCAGCTAAATTGTAAACCAAAAGCAATCTTGCATTCCTGGAGGAAATTCCATATATTAGGACCCCCATCCAGGACTTGAAGGGTGCAAAGACAGTGTGATTCCCACAACCTTGCAATTCAACTCTTCTGTTTCGCCTCTACAGAAAACACAGGGATCTTGGATAATGACAGATTATTGTGAGCTTACCCAGGTGATGATCCAATTGCAGATGCTGTAACAGAGGTGGTTTTGTAGTTTCAGCAAATTAATACATCCCCTGATACCCAGTATTCAGCCATTGATCTGTTAAAAAAATTTTTTTCTCCATCACTGTTAATAAGAACCACCAGGAATAATTTTATTTCATTTGGCAAGGGCATCAGTACACCTTCACTGTACTACCTCAAGGTCTGGGAAGGCACCTGGGGGTTGTGATCAGGGTCTCCGTGGCCTTCGGCTCCTGCTCTTCCTCCTCTTCCTCCCCCTCTGACACTGGCATCAGGGCAAACACAGGACATTGGGTGAGTAGGAAATGGGGGGACCCATGGACTGACTGAAGGTGGGGTCAGGGCACCAGCCAAAGAGAATCCAGATGAGAAAAGTCAGCTCAGAAAAACAGCTCCAGCATTTCCCAGTGAGAACACCTGGAAAGAAGAGAATGAATGTGAGCACACATGGACCACCTTACTCTTTTTTCTTTTTTTTTTTTTTCAGCTTTCCATGTATTTGAAACATTTATGCCAGTGTGTTTTCAGGTTTCCTTCTTTCCTCTTGAGTTCTGTGTGCAGAGCAGGTGGTTGTAATGCTTCCAAGGCTCAGACTCTGTCCTTCTTCACCCAGCCCAGAGGGAGGCTGATTTCCAAAGTCCTGCGGGGGCTGCGAAGCCAGAGAACAAGGACAGAGGCCTGCAGAGGAGGTAATTCTGTCTGGAGAGCGCAGACGCCCACCCACCCCTACAGCCCCTCACTGCCCCTCACACTCCCAGTCCTTCTCCAGGCCAACCCAACTGCTGATCTCCAGGAAGAAAATCTCTGTGACAGGAAGAGAGGGACACCTGAGGGTGGAGACAGAAACCCCAGAGTTTCAGTAGCAGTGACAGCAGGGGAAAAGGCTGAGAAGGGCTTGGGCTCTTTGATATAATATATAAATTAATTAATATGAAAATTAATTCAATTTACTATTTTCCACCTTCACAGTGTCTGTCTAATGCATTTCAACACCTGTCTGTGTTTTCCTCGTGCATCTTGGTTGTCCCTTCCTGTTGGGTGGCTCTCCTCCCACACACCTGGCCTCTCATAAACGGTTCCCCCAAGGCTGTCCTGGCATCAGCCTGATGAAGGGGGATTGTCGCCGCTGCTCCTGCCCCACTCTCCCAAACTTAGCATCAGCTCAGGACTGTGCCCGGCAGAGATGGGATGGACACCAGCCTCACTTCCTGTGGGGCAGATGCCTGTGTCTGACAACCGTGGATTCAATCTGTTTCTCACACATGGGGGAGAGGCTCAGAGCTGACCATGGACTCCGGTGAGTGAGCAGAGACCCCTCCCAGCGCCTGTCCACACACACAGGGGAGGGGGCCACAGCTTCCAGCCTCACCCAGAGTCCTGACCACTCCCTGCCTTGGAGGACCTGGGATTCCTCTTCTGTCCCTCATGGAGGTGGGACCTCCTCCTCCCTAATGACCCCTGGGTGGTCCCACACACCTGTGGCCACTCAGCTGTGAACTGTGTTCATTGAAGTGGATGCTTCTCAATTGGAGGAACTTACCTTCCTCTTTCTCTGCCTGTGGCCGTGATGATCTGCACATTTCAGACGTGTCACAAGGAGCATTTCACGGTGTTTGGAGCCGATGTGGGCTCTGGAGTGGGTGCATCAATCATCCTCCTTGACTGTGGAGCCAACACCAGGGTCCTCTCACGTCCCAACCCCCCTGTCTTAACTGGTCTGGAAATGACCCGCGGCTGAGCCCCTCCCACGTCCTGGGCACCACTGACCCCCACCCGCTGTGATGAGTGCGGCTCATGACAACAGGCTCAGAGGTGACATTAATCTCCAAGGTCACATAAACCATGGATGATAATCAGGAATTAAATAAAAATCAGCTCCCCTCCCCCAGAAGCAGATGACAGACCTAACGAATTGTTCTGAAAACCCTGAACATGGACGGAGGGGCAGAGGGACAGCCAAGGACATGGGGCACTGAGGACATGGGATGGACTCGGAGGCTCATCCCCAGGTGGGGGTGGGTGATACCGCAGCAAAGCAAAAAGGGGAAGCATAAGAGAGGGGTTACTGTGCAGGAAGGAAACAGACACTCCAGGGATGGGAAAAATACGTTTTGTTCTCTTTATTCCTTGCATTTCCCCTTTTGAGACAAGGTCTCGCTCTGTCACTCAGGCTGGAACCCTGAGAAGTGATCACAGCTCCCTGCAGCCTCTGCCTCCCAGGCCCAAGCGATCCTCTCACCTCAGCCTCCTGAGTAACTGGGACTACAGGTGTGAGCCTCCATGCCCGGCTATGTTTTTGCTTCTTTGGACAGACAAGGTCTCATTATGTGGCCCAGGGTAATACGAAGCTCCTGGCCTCAACCATCCTCCCCCCTCAGCCTCCTGAACTGCTGAGATTCCAGGTGGGAGCACCACGAGAGGCCCTGCATTTCTCCTCTGTGCTTATGGCCACATGCAGCTCAGCCTGGACTGCATAGCCCGGCGTCAGGTGCGTCTCTGCTGACCTGAGCCTGCCTGCAGCACCGACCTATATCTTCCCTGAAGCAACTCCAGGGAAGTTGGGAGAGACGATGGCCATGGTGAGGACCCCGCACTGCTGTGCTGATGGATGAGGTGAAGGAGGGAAGGATACCCCATGGGAAGGCTGTGAGAGGGAGGAGAAGCCCATGGTCACCCTCACCTAAAAGGGGCTGACTCAGGAAGGCACCAGGGCTATTTGCTGCTATGTCCCAGCTCTCAGTGAGATGAGGACAAACCAGACAGACAGTGGCTGGGGGTCAGGAAAGACCCCATTACAGTCTGAAATGTCTGCAGAGGGGTTGGGCCCACCCCTACCTCAGCCCTAAAGAAATGAGAGCCAGGCTCCTGGGGAGGGCAGTTCTGCTTCCTGTGTGGCTGCAGATGACACAACCCCATGACAAGAAGATCTAGCCTCCAAGTGTCCACACCCTGTGTGTCTCTGTCCTGCCAGCACCAAGGGCTCATCCATCCGCAGAGCAGGGCAGTGGGAGGAGACGCCATGACCCCCATCCTCATGGTCCTGATCTATGTCGGTGAGATTTGAAGAGGGAAGGGAGATTCTAACCTAGGAGGGAACTCACCCCACAGCCAAACTCTGGTCCATAAGGAGACTCCAGGGCTCACAAAGACTCCAGGGAGGGGAGGACCTGCTCAGGCTTCAGGGGCAAATCTCTCACAGGGAACTCTCTTCTAGGGCTGAGTCTGGGCCCCAGGACCCACGTGCAGGCAGGTGAGTCTGTCCCTAGCTGGCCCGGGTCGTCCTCCTCACTGGGGACAAGGCCCACCCCCGTGCAGCTGAGGAGGGGAATAGCAGTTCTGGGGTGACTGATGGGGGTCTGGAGGGTCCTGGGCTGAGAGCTGGAATCTGTTGGGTTGGGTGGAAATGACTTGGAATCTGACCTCTTATTTCCTGCCAGAGACCCTCCCCAAGCCCACCCTTTGGGCTGAGCCAGGCTCTGTGATCACCCAGGGGAGTCCTGTGACCCTCAGGTGTCAGGGGAACCTGGAGACCCAGGAGTACCGTCTACATCGAGAAAAACCATCAGCATCCTGGATTAGGCAGATCCCACAAGATCTTGTGAAGAAGGGCCAGTTCCCCATCCAGTCCATTGCTGGGGAACACGCAGGGCGGTATCGCTGTCGGTATCGCGGACGCACTCACTGGTCAGAGTTCAGTGACCCCCTGGAGCTGGTGGTGACAGGTGAGAGGACACTCAGGGGTCCCAGCCCCAGGCTCAGTCCAGGAAGAGGGTTGGCTCTCAGGGGTGTTTCCCCTCTCAAAGCCCAGCCCTGGGGATGATGTGGGAGGTGTGAGCCCCACTTAACACGGTGCCTCCTTCTCTCCTAGGATATTACATCAAACCCAACCTCTCAGCCCTGCCCAGCCCTGTGGTGACCCCAGGAGTAAACGTGACCCTCCAGTGTGGCTCACAGGTGGCATTTGATGGGTTTGCTCTGCACAGTGAAGGAGAAGATGAACACCCACAGCGCCTGAACTCCCAGCCCCATGCCCGTTGGCCATCCCGGGCCGTCTTCTCTGTGGGCCCCGTGAGCCCGAGTCGCAGGTGGACGTACAGGTGCTATGGTTATGACTCTCAATCTCCCTATGTGTGGTCTTTACCCAGTGATCTCCTGGAGCTGCTGGTCCCAGGTGAGAAATTCACAGCATTGCCTGGAGATCCCTGAGTCTCCGGGCAGGTGGGGAGGAGCCGTGTCTCAGGGCAGCTCCAGGTGGGACGATGTTGGGGTGAGAGGGCTCAGGGCTCCTGGGCCAGAGACACAGGAAGATCTGCAGTGGTGAGGCTGGGGGAGAGGGAGGATTTGTGGGGAGCCTGAGGGTCGGCTCCTGGAGACCATGACCACCTTTCCCAGGTGTTTCTGAGAAGCCATCACTCTCAGCGCAGCCGGGTCCTGTCGTGGAGCCTGGGGAGACCCTGACCCTCCAGTGTGGCTCTGATGTTGGCTACGACAGCTTCGCTCTGTACAAGGATTGGGGACCTGACCTCCTCCAGCGCCCTGGCCGGCAGCTCCAGGCTGGGCTCTCCCAGGCCAGCTTCACCCTGAGCCCTGTGAGCCACTCCCACGGGGGCCAGTACAGATGCTCCGGTGCCCACAACCTCTCCTCCGAGTGGTCGGCCCCCAGTGACCCCCTGGACATCCTGATCGCAGGTGAGGTGTCCAGCGGGTTCAATCAGGGACCCAGGCTCTGCACAGGCCCTGCCAGGAAGCCCAGGTGGTGATGGCCGGGATGAGGGGTGGGGGTCCCAGGGGAGGGAGAGACAGACAGAAACAGGGGATGGGCGGGGAGGGGGAGACTCAGAGAAAACAGAGACTGAGGGTCCCAGAGAGAGGCCTGGGGAGGTCTCAGCTCAGAACAAGGCGGGGCAGCCCCTCACCCATCCTTCTTCTCTCCAGGACAGTTCCCTGACAGACCCTCCCTCTCAGTGCAGCCGGGCCCCAGGGTGGCCTCAGGAGAGAAAGTGACCCTGCTGTGTCAGTCACAGGGGTGGATGTACACTTTCCTTCTGACCAAGGAGGGAGCAGCTGATGCCCCCGTGCGTCTAAGATCAAAGTACCAATCTGATAAGTACCAGGCTGAATTCCCCATGAGTCCTGTGACCTCAGCCCATGCGGGGACCTACAGGTGCTACGGCTCATACAGCTCCAACCCCTACGTGCTGTCTCACCCCAGCGAGCCCCTGGAGCTCATGGTCTCAGGTGAGGGCCCTGACCCTGTCCTCTCTGAGCTCAAGGCTCAGCTCAGGCCCTGCCCCAGGAGAGCTCTGGGCTGGGATGGAGGGAGGGGGTCTGAAGGAGGCTCAGCCAGAGGGGACTCAGCCCTCAGAGAGAAGGAGGACAATGGGGCCCTCCCAGGCACACCCACCCTCAGCACATCACCAGCATCACGAAGAGGAGAGGCAGGTGTGGGAGGGGACTGGAGCGCGGCCTCCCCCAGGACAGTCCCGAGGCTCCCAGAGGATCCCTTTCCTCTCAAGGACCCAGCACAGGCTTCCCTCCAGGTTGCTGGGCAGAGACAGAGCGAGGGCCACAGGGTCTCAGGGGCTCTGAGGCTGGGTGGTGAGGGGTGTGGTTGAGGCAGAAGGAGATCTTGGGGCCCAGACTGGGGGAGGAGCAGCCAGGCTGAAGTGGGGAGTAGGACAGCCCCAGCCCTCAGCTCCCCATCCCAACCCAGCAGGCCCTGCGGACCAGCTTGTCCCTCCCCAGAGTGGTGAATGAGGGGCTCTGAGTGGGAAGTGGGCGGGGAGGTGGGCAGGGCCCAGGGGAGGCAGGGGTGGGTTCTGTCATTGGATCAAGGCTCCTCTGGAGATGGTGACGGGGACAGGCCCCTCCTCTGCCTGGGCCTCAGTTTCTCCAAGTGTAAAGGAGAGAGTCCTGCATGGGTGGGAAATTTCCTTTCAGCTCTGACTCCCAGCTTTGACCTCCTGGGAGAGGAGGCCCCCCAGGGAAGCCTCCAGACCCGATTTCTCAGGGGTCTGTCCTGTCCCTCCTGCAGCAGTGACGGTGACCTGGGGCAGGAGGGGGAGCAGGGCCGTGGTTTGGGGCATTCAGGTTCTTTCCCTGCAGATCCGGGGCTCAGCTCAGTGCACGGAAGAAGGCCTGCAGGTCAGACTCCTGGGTTCCCTTCCCAGCTCTGCCACTTCCTGGCTGGGGTTCCTGGGGCAGGTGATTCCCCTCTCTGAGCCTCAGGTTTTCATCTGTAAAGTGAGTGGGGTGGATGTTTCAATTCCCCAAGGCAATCCTGGGTATCCCAGAAGATCCTGTTTCCTCAAGAACTCAAGCATGGGCTTCCCTCCAGGAGCTGGGCAGAGACAGAGGAGGAGCCACAGGCTCTCAGGGGAGGTCATATACATTACATATAACCTTATATACAACCTGTTCTGTAACTTACATCTGAATATGTCTCTCCTCCCCGATTTTGAGTCTCAGGAGCAGCTGAGACCCTCAGCCCATCACAAAACAAGTCTGACTCCAAGCCTGGTGAGTGAGGAGATGCTTGAGGTCATGGGGCTGGCACAGAGGCTCGGGTCCTGTCAAGGGAAGGCGGGTGCCCTGGGTGGACATCCAGAGGTCCTGGGTGATGCTGATCCTCCCTGACCTCTGTGACCTCTTTGTCCACTCTCCCCAGCCTCACGCCCCCAGGATTACACAGTGGGGAATCTCATCCGCATGGGCATGGCTGGCTTGGTCCTGGTGGTCCTCGGCATTCTGCTATTTGAGGCTCAGCACAGCCAGAGAAGCCCCCAAGGTGCAGCCAGGAGGTGAACAGCAGAGAAGATATTGCAGCCTGCAGAGTGGTCGAACCTTGAGAACAGATCTGATGATCCCAGCAGGTTCTGGAGACAATTTAGGCCTGATGCTATCTGGATTGTCTGCTGATCATTTCTAGAGGGAGGAAATCAGAGTTCCAGTGCAGAGACATTTTCCAGGGTGATCCATGGAGGACCATGAACATGTGATACCTTTCCTCTCCATGAATGCTGACTTCCCATCGTTGGGTCCCCTTCTTTTCCCTCCCCCAGACATGAGGCTCCATCCCACGTGGCAGCGTTGGGTCCGTACCTCTGCATATCTTCGTGCTCTGGTCCATGGCATGTAACACAGTCTTCCTTATTCCTCATTGCCACACTCCCTGGTGAGATTTACTGAGCCTCCATCTCTTCAGTTCAGCGTTCCAAATGTGGTCCAGTAAATAAATCAATGGGAGAGCATCAGATTTCAACCAGGAAAAGATGAATCCACCCGGATGCCCCAACACCCTCTCCGGACCCTACGAGCCCTTCCCTCTTTCTCAGATACTATCTGTGTGACTTCCCTCAGATCATTGTGTGACCATCACTGCCATCCTGTTCCACACCATCGTCATCACCCGACACCCACTCAGCAGTCACTCCCATTTCCTCTCCCTCCAGCACCTGGTAACCAGGAGTGTGCTTTCTGTCTCTATGGATTTGCATATTCTGGTTGAAAACATTTCGATCTACCTATGACCTGTGAGCTCCTCACTTCAAGACGTCCCGCCTTTCTAGGCAGAACAAAAGTATACCATGTCAAAACAATGATAGGCATTTACAGTGTGTTGGTGATCCACGAAAGGAAAGTCACGGAAGTAGGAGAGAAATCCAACTGAAGACAAGACCTCAGGCCAATGAACCTTGTCAGTGAGTTGAGCTGTTTCTTTCTTTTCACTTGTGACAGTCAGAGAGAAACATGCAAAAATGACTGGGGCTGATTCTTCTCTGACTTCTCCCAAACAGCAAGAGGACTTGAGTCCCAGCATGAAAGCGTTAAACATTCCTCGGTCAAAGACCACTGTGTTTGAAGGATGTAAAACTGCCTCATAGGCTGGAATGGTTGGGAGAAGTACCCGAAGGACCAAATAATCCTGAACCTTCTAGGACAAAGGGAACAGCCATTCGCCGTTTACCATGTAGAATAAATACATTCCATTAGGGACATTTTCAAAGACTCAACAGAATATGAATGATCACAATATTATGCTTATAGGTAAAGCATAATATTGTAGACATGTTAATATTTGAGTGAGAATATCTTCCAAGTCTTCGTTTGATTGTGCCAGGCCAAAAATTTGGGCCAGATTTCAGCGATGTCAAGCGGGAGACTCTGGCATCTGTCACTGATTACCTTCCAGGCACACCTGGCCACCAGCCCTTCCCGTGGATCCCACGTGTGTCTCGTGACTCTCGGATAGGAATCTGTGAACACACTGACCTCTGCCTTCTACCTGGCTGACTTGTAGGGTACTTTTTCAACATCTCCCGGTCTTTTGTTTTTCTGTTGGGAAGTCCCATCCCAATGCGCATGCTACCCTTCTGACAGGCCGAGTTGAAAATCACAGAACACAAACATGCGTTTTAAACTATACAATTTACGCCAGACAACTTGAGTCTAGCATATGTACTTTTTAATCTACTCCTGATATTTTTCAATGTATCGTGGTAGGTCAAGATTTGCATTTCACGTTTAAATGTGTGCACCCTAACACTTAATTAGTCTTCCCTCATCTCTGTCGAATGTTCAACTCTATAATTCATGAGTTGTTGCCAGACGTCATTCTCCCTTCTTTCCTTCTGACATGTGCAGTAGATATGAGGTCCTCCCTGCTCACGATATTCCCCCAAGTATGGTGAATTTCCACTTTCGGTGCCTCCAGGGTGCCTTCTGGAAAATTCTCTCAATTTTGTTTTCCAATTTAATAAATGTCTCTTCAGCTGTATCTTGACCCTGATAGAATAAATATTTTGATTGTATTCTTCAATAGAAATTTTCACCCCTAGGATTTCTTACACATTTCTCTGATGCCCATTTTTTGCCAGGATAATTCATATTTTTGTCTCAAAAATTTAATTTCCTCTTTTTTCAGATATTTAAACGTGTTTAAGTGAAAAGGGGTCTCATGCATTCCTAGAATTCTATGTCTTTGGACATAGCAATCCTTGTCAACAAGCGTGTAGACTGATGACCATAACACTTTTTGTCATTAGAAGGATGGTTCTTGGTTGTCTATTTTTGTCGGACACTCACTTCCCACAGCTCTGAGCTACCACGGAAGGGTCCCCTCAAGGCCGTTTTAGTAATCCAGGTCTGAAAATGGTGGATTGTTCCAACTACTCATGACATGTAACATTGATTTCCCAAACATAGCGTCTGCTCAGGTTGCTCTCAGGAGGGAGAAAATCCACGTGGAACTCACACTCACACATAATACTGATGCCCACGTGAAAGAACACTGCAGTGAATGAATTTGCTTCACATACACACAGGGGAGTTGGCTCAGGGGTGGCCATGGGCCTGTGTCAGTAAGCAGACATGTTCCATCACAGCGTCCAGCCTTGCCCAGAGCCCCGGCCCCTTCCCGCCTGTTGAGGACACTGGACCCCTTATCTGCTCTGCACAGAAATGGAAACTTGCTCCCTAATGACCCCAAATGGGGCCAGACACAAATGTCCTTTCTGTTTCCATTTCCTCTTCATCTGCACCCTTCCTCTTCTGATAAGCTTTTATTTCCCACTTTCTTTTTTTTTTTTTTTTTGAGTCGGAGTTTCGCTCTTGTCGCCCAGGCTGGAGTGCAATGGCGCGATCTCGGCTCACCGCAACCTCCGCCTCCTGAGTTCAGACAATTCTCCTGCCTCAACCTCCTGAGTCGCTGGGATTACAGGCACGTGCCACCATGCCCAGCTAATGTTTTGTATTTTTAGTAGAGACGGGGTTTCACCATGTTGACCAGGATGGTCTCGATCTCTTGACCTCGTGATCCGCCCACCTCGGCCTCCCAAAGTGCTGGGATTACAGGCTTGAGCCACCGCGCCCGGCCTTTTTTCCCACCTTCTATACATGACTGTGATCACCAAGATGTTTATTGATGAAATATTATGAGAAGCATCTCTCAAGCGTAGGAGCACAGAGGAGCTCCTGAGTGGAAGCATCAGTCACAGGCCTTGATCGTGGACACCAGCATCCCCTCCTGTCCCCACCCCTCCTGTCTCCACCTGCTCTAGAAATCACCCATGGCTTATCCCTGTGCAGCTCTCAGGCACCAATGAACTAGCTCCCCTGTGAAGAATAAGGTCATGACAGGCTCCAAATGAGGAAACTGAGGCTCAGAAATGGGAAGTTACTGCCCAAGGTCACATGGGCAGGGGTCCATCTATGAATATTTAATATTTAATATTTAAATCAGTGTGCGAACCCCGTGTACTGTTCCAAAACCTTGAACACTAGAGCGCAGATGGGAACGGGGCGTTTGAAAGAAAACGGGGTCACCAAGAAGGCAGCATCAGGTCAACGTTGTTTCCAGGGCCATGGGTGTGGATGCTGTGGCGATGACGAAGGAGAAGTTTGTGAAGGGAACTTTCTTGCATAAAGAAAACCCACACTGCAGTTCTGGGAAAAGGGTCATTCATGACTTTTCCCTCATTGCCCTATATTTCCCCTTTCTGCTCATTGCCACAATAAAGCTTACCTGGAACGTCACAACCAGATGTGAGATGAGTCTCTGCTGATTCCAGTCTGCCCTGCAGCCTGAATTTGCATCTTCCCTGAAGCCTCCCCAGGGCTGCTGAGAGGACTGGCCGTGGTAGGGACCCCACAGCATGTGTTTATGGATGAGCAGAAGGAGGAGGGAGACCCCAAGGGAAGGCACTGAGAGGAAGGAAGAGTCCTCCATTGCCTTCACCGGAAAGGAACCAACTCAGGAAGGCACCACGTCCATTTGCAGCCACATATTGGCCCTCAGTGAGATGAGGACAGCTCAGGCAGACAGCGAAAGGAGATGAGGGGAGATCCATGAAATATCAGCAGTAAACCCGGTGCCTGTCTCAGCCCAAGCCCTGGGAAAACAAGAGCCAGGCCCATGGTAGGGCTGGGGCCAGTTCACTACCATGGAGATGCTGACGGGAAAATCCCATAAGGAGGAGAGCACTGTTTCTGTGTGGCCATGGCCTGTGTATCTCTGTCCTCTGGGCACCATGGTCTCATCCATCTGCACAGTCGGGCTCAGTAGTAGGAGATGCCATGACTCTCACCCCCATGACGATGGTCCGCTACACTGAGATTTGACAAGGGGCATGGGAGATTCTAGTCTGAGAGGAACCATGACCCTCAGGGAGGTCCTGGTCCATTAGGAGACCCTGGGGAGTTAGGGAGGATCCCAGGGAGGAGAGCACCTGCTCAGGCTTCAGGGGCAATTCTCTCACAGGGAACTCATTTTCAGGGCCGAGCCTGGGCCTCAGGACCCGCATGCAGGCAGGTGAGTCTGTCCCCAGCTGTCCCAGTTCCCTCCTCCTCACTGGGGACAGGGTCACCCGCACCCTGGACAGCTGGGGCTGCAGAACAGCAGCTCTGGGCTGACTGAGGCGGGTGACAGGAGGATCCTGGGCTGAGAGCTGGGATGTGGGGTGTGGTAAGTGATAGGACCCAGTCTCTGATTTCCTTCCACGGACCCTTTCCAAGGCCATGCTCAGGGCTGAGCCAGACTCTGTAATAACCTAGGGGAGCCCCGTGTCCCTCTGGTGTCAGGAGTGCACTGAGCCCCTGAGCCCTGGCATTACTGTCAGAGCATTCGTTGGCACAGAGATCCCTGTTGAGTGCCCACCAGCCCTCCACCCTCCGCTTGCCAAAACTGCCACTGGCGTGTACACACACAGGGAGACCAGCAAATCCAACCCCATCTGAAGCTGCAGCTGCCACCCGTGTGAACTCACTCACAGAGGACGCACACAGTCTCCACTCTCGCCGGTGCCCGCCCTTGTGCCAACAGCGCTGCCTGTGCAAAATTGCACAAGGAGACCAATACATCCACTGACACCCCCAGCAGCGGCTTCCACCTGCGTGAAAGTGTGCACAGAGGGTACAGAGTCCCGTGAGACCAGCACACCGCCACTGTGCTAACACCACCACTGGTGCAAATGCACACACGAACACCTGTGAGGACCCTGCCCACCCCACCCAGCCTTGCCGACACCACTGCGTTGAACACCGACGTGGTGACCAGCACCCCTGCATCCACCAGCATCCCACTGCAGCCAACAAATGTGTACGTCCCAAAGGAAAAGACATCAGTCTCTCAAAAACACGCTTGCATACAAATATGTATTGCAGCCAAATTCATAATGGCAAAGATGTGGAATCAACCTAAGTGCCCATCAACCGATGAATGAATGTGGTACATAAACACAACAAAATACTCTCCAGCCCTTGAAGAAAGTGAAATAATGTCTTTTACAGCTACTTGGATGCAGCTGTGGGCTATGATGCTAAGTGAGCTAAGGCAGCAATGGAAAACCAAATACCACATGTTCTCACTTATAATTGGGAGCTAAGGTATGGGTAATCAAAGAAAACATGGTGAAACCCATCTCTACTAAAAATACAAAAAAAAAAAATTAGCTAGGTGTGGTGGCAGGGGTCTATAATCCCAGCTACTTGGGAGGCTGAGGCAGGAGAATCCCTTGAACCCAGGAGACAGAGGTTGCAGTGAGCCGAGATTGCGCCATTGCCCTCCAGCGTGGGCAGCAGAGCCAGACTCCGGCTCAAAGGAGAAAAAAAAAACAAAACCCGTAGGAAACATCCTCCTTGATACAGGCATTGGCAAAGTGTTTACAGCTCAGTTCTCAAAGGCAATTAAATGAAAACAAAAATTGATGAGTGAGACCTAACTAACCTACAGACCCAGTGTAGGTCTAATATGCAGAATCTATAAGCAACTTACACAAATCAGCAAGCAAACAAGGAAACAGCCCCATTAAAAACTGGGCAAAGGACGTAAACAGACACTTCTCTAAAGAAGACACATATATGGCCAAGAAGCATATGAAAAAATCTTTAATATGACTACTCTTTAGGCAAATGCAAATTAAAACCACAATGAGACACACCCCTCAGAATGGTTATTATTAAAAAGTCAAAAAATACCAGATGCTGGCAAGGCTGTGAAGAAAATGGAACAAGTGTTGGTGAAAACATAAATTAGTTCAGCCACTGTGGAGAGCAGTTGGAAGATTTCTCAAAAACTAAGAGTTGAACCACCATTCGACCCAGCATACCCATTGGTAGGTGTATGCCCAAAGGAAAATGAAGCATCCTACCAAAAAGACAGATGCATTTATGTGTTCATTGCAACACCCGTCACAATAACAAAGACATGGAATAGATCCAGGTGTCCATGAACAACGGATTGGATATACGTACCATAGAATACTACACAGCAACGAAAAAGGAAATCGTGTCTTTTGCAGCAGCTTGGGTGGAGCCAGAGGTCATTAGCCTGAGTGATGTAATGAAGAAACAAAAAGCCAGATATCACATGTTCTCACTCTTAAATAGGAGCTAAACGTTGAGTACACACGGATATAGAAAAAGAAACAATAAGCATGGGAGATGTTTAGAGCTGGGAGAGATGGAGGAAGGCAAGGGCTGAAAACTGCCTTTTGGGTGCTCTGCTCACTACCCGAGTTTATGGATTCATTTATTCTCAAAACCTCAGCATCACACAATATATTTTTCTAGCAAACTTGCATTCTATATGCCCGCATTCTAAAATAAAAGTTGAAAAGAAGAAGAATAATACGGAACTAAAAATTAATAGGCACGCATCTTAACAATATAAACTCCAGTACAAAATGGATGAGGCAAAAGCTTAGAGATTTTGACATTTAAAACAACTATACATGTGATTGTATATACAGACATGTGAGGACAATTGGTCTTCCTCTGCAAGAACTGCAGGTGGGGCGTGGAGACTCATTAC